GTATTACATTGATTGATTTCAGCTTCTAAATCTTTGTGGTGAGGGTGAGTATGGTGCATTTTCAGAATTCCCTGCATAGTGGGTTATCATTTGGGAAAATCTTATTCCATCTTATAACTGACTTAATTTTTTTTTCGTTGGCTGTTTAATTTGCAGAACTGACTGACAGGAACAGGGAAGGGATCTAGATTTTAAAGGACAGAGGCACTGCTCTAAGCCATCTCGGGGAGGTTAGGATCAACTGAGCAGACAGAAGATGCCATTTACTTTTCATCGCCAAATGTGCCCAGCGCTTATAGTGTGAACAAACTTTTGTACTTGGAAGAGAAGCTTCCTGCGTTCCTGTGAGAAAGGCGAGCAGATGTCTCACTAGTGGCCACGTGGTGGAAGGAAAGCGATTCTGAATATCTAATGGCACCTCGGTGTCTGGCCCGCTGGCTGGAGGCAGTTTCACACCTCAGCCCGAGTTCCGAACCTGTCAGACGGCATGTTGGATACACAACTTCCCCCGGCGAAGGAAAGCTGGCTGTTTAGTAAATCTGAACCACTTGTTGAAATGTTTACACAAAAAGGCAGGGATAAGAAATGAGCTGGCTGTCTATGGACTGAGCCCCACAAAGTGAATGAGGAGATGTGTTCAGCACTGTCCTCAGTTATGGACAAAGGAAGGTGACAGTGAGTCACATCGCAGTCCCCGGCTCCAAAACCTCTCCTGAAATTTGAGAGAAGTTGGGACAATAACATCTAAACTAGCATCTCTGTTACTTAGGAACATATACAGAGAAGAGTGGGGAGACAGGACCCATTTCAATTATTGTCACGTACCCAGTAACTATCTGAGCAGACTAAAACAGAAGTCCACCTTTTGTGTGTGAGAGGGGCTGGTGTTAAACAGAGTACTCAGTTGCTTTCTACCTGGATGGGTTCTCCAGTAACAGGATTCATCACTTCCTTTGCAGAAATCCTCATCCCCAAGGCAAAGTTAGCTACTCTTTGAGCATGGCTTTCAATAGGCACGGGTACGCCCCCTACCACCACATAAGCATCTCCTATGGTTTCCACCTGTAAGGGGGAAAGAGAGACCATTCAGGGGGCTTTCTTAATACACTAAACTTAGCACTAAATATTTTTGGCATTTTCCATATAGCGACAGAAGGACCATATTAAAGCTGGAGATGTGAGGAGCATGAGGGAGGAGGTGAGAAGAAAAATGACTCAGGAAAGAACGAGGAGGGAGCCAAAAGGTCCTTCTGCTTTTGGTTCAGACAAGTCCCAGAGAAGACGAAGCCCCTGGGGTAGTCGTATGATGCTGTGCATTAGATAGACACACGTCACTTAGGTTAGACTTGCTCTTGCAGTGAAGGAGCAGTGTTCTCTGGGAAGACAGTGTGCCCCTCAAGGGCAACCTTAGCACTGGGTATTATGAGAAGATTCCTAAAAAAGACTAAAATCCTAAAGCACTTCCAGTCGTTTTAGCTCTTCCTCCTCTGCCCACTCGCATCCACACCGAACCCCACACAAAGGAAGAGCCCCCACTGGCTACCTGCCCTGCCTGAGCACACAGGGACACACGCCCCACCACCCCTCAGGCTTACTTTGTAGACCTCGTGGACACTGGTTAACCTGTCAAACTTGGAGTACATCGAATTCAGCATATGCACTATTTGGATAGGTTCACAGGCAGCACAGATGCTGGTAAAGGTCACCACGTCGCTGAAGAGAATTGTGCAGGTTTTAAATTTTCCTGCAACGTAAATCAATGTCAGTGATAGCCAAGGATGTAGACTACGAATTCTATTAAGTCTGGATTCAAGTGTCCTTTTGGGAACCAAATCTGACTGTGCCTTGGAGAAAAGGAGCCAGAAGCCAATCAGCATTCACTGCCCCCTCACCAGACATTTATCAAGTGCTGTGAGCTAGTTGTCGTGTTGGGAGAATCTTAAATGTGAAGCAGACAGGGTCCCTGCCCATAAGGAGCACCTGGTCTAGTGAAAGAGACAGAGTGCGAACAAATGCTCAGTAAGACGTGCAGAGCTCTCGGGGAAACAGAATGACTGGCTGGGCTCTGGCTTACAGAGTTGCTCCTGGCCAGGTGGGCTAAGGCAGGGTCTGAACTCCGGGAGACCCAGGCTTAGGGCTGATGGGGAACTCACCACTTCATGGCGACCAGTCTCCATCTCCATATGTCAGGGGAGCTGCCGTAGCCTCAACACCTCCTACCAACTCATCAGCTGCTTCTGCTCTTGCCCTGGCTCTCGCTTATTTCCACAGAGCACCCAGATGATCTGTACGTCAGGTCCCTGACTCCTCGGCCCCAAACCTGCCATGACTTCCAGCACACTTAGAGTAAAACACTACATCTTTTCCATGGACCATAAGGTCCCCTCTGACTTCATGGCTCCCTGCTTTCTCTCTTGCTCACTCCGCATGGGCCACACTAGCCTCCTGAGGGTTTTCCCTGCTTAGGGCCTTTGCACCTGCTGTTTCCTGCGCCTGACGTGCTATTTTCCTAAATATCCACAGGCTATCTCACAACGCAGACGTAAGCACCTCAGGGAGAAACTTCTTGACAGAATAACAATCCCAAGGCTCTCTGTCCTTAGTCTGATTGCTGTCCCCCACCCATAAGACTTACGTGGCATGGCATCTTACGTGGGGTTGTTATTTGGTTATTATCTGTCTCCCGCAGTGGAATACAAGGTCCACAAGATGAGAGACTGATCTCTGCTGTATCCCCCACACCCAGAGCAGGACCTGGGACATCAATAAAGACCTGTGGAATGACTCCTTGAACACAGCTGGGCGCCTTCTGTGTTGTTGCTGCCTCTGGTAATGATCTCCCCATCTTGTAACTTTCTCTTCCTTTTGGCTGCTGGCCCGCATCCTCTCTTCTTATTCGTCCTACCTTTCCGATCTCTGTTTTATATGTTTCATTGGCTTTTCTTCCTTCTGAAATAATGTGTCCCCTAAGCTTCCATACTCAACCGTCTTTCTTCCCACTTCACACCTCCCTAGAGGAACTTATCCATCATTCAGAGTCTATGGTTAATCGCCAATGACACTGCAGTAACTCCCAGATCTAGAGCTCACCCTAGAACCTCCCACTGAGCTCTCCCTACAATTCCCGCTGCCTGTAGGTGGTCATGCGATGTGGAGTTTCCCATGGGCATTTCAAACATATCAGTTCTCAAACTGACCTTGTCTTTCTGCCCTCAAACCTGCTCTTCTTTCTGCTTCTGCCTTAGGATAGAGCATCACATCTTTCCACATGAGAAACCTCACACTCATCCCTGACTCCCATGTCTTACCTGCCCCCATCTCCTCAGTTATGAATCCTGCTGATTCCTACTCATGCTGCCTTAATTCAGGCCTTTCCCCATCACTCACCTGCACTGTGATGGGCTTCCAGTCCACCTCCCTCTCATGTGCTTACTACACTGCAGCCAAAATTATCTTTGTAAAACTAATCATGTCACTTCCATTAAAAACAAAGAAACTTTATTAAATCCGCCACATCTGAAATAAGGCCATTTCTTTCCCCACGATAATTCAGATTCATCACTTACCAGCAGAGTCTCATCCTACCTGCCCAGCCTCAGCAGGCGCCACTCTGCCTTGTACCCCCACGTTCTAGGGATAACGCCTGCAGTATTGACCTTCACGCTGCCTGACCTTCGCCCTCACTACTTCATTCTTCTAAAACACCTTTCCCTTCTCTTTCTGCTGAAATTCAGGCCCAACCCAAGTGCCACACTGTTCATATCAGCCCTCGTCCCAACTGCTAACCTCTTTTTCTCTTCTGCGGTCTGTTTATTGTTCATTCTGGTGTCCTCTGTTTCCACAGTAACTTAAGTGGTGGGAAAAAGCATGCATTTGGGAGTTCAATGGACTTCTGATTGGTTTCCAGCTCTTTAACTCATAAACTGGAGTGAGTGTAAATTTGCTCCGCTGTCATGTAACCCTGAAGGGCACTGCCTCCTGCCCTGGTCCCCGTGAAGGGCCTGGGCACCCTCACCTGCAGCGACCTTTCTGCCCTCCTTCAGCTGGTTGGCCACGTGTTCCGGCAGCATGGCGTACGGCAAGGTCTCCGTTTTCTTCTTCTCGATGGCCAAGTGCTTGGAGAGGATCCGCAGCTCCTCCTTCTTCCTCTCCAGCTGGTTGGACAGCTCCATCTCCGCCAGGCGCTGCTGGTTCAGGAGGATGAGGTCCCTGGTGCTGTCGTGGGGGGCGATGTCCGACAGGTGCATCCGGCGCGCCTCCAGCTCGGGCAGGCTGCGCAGCTGCGGCGAGCACACGTACATCATGCAGCGCGTGGGCTCCATCCGGATCATCCGGCCTGCCCGCCCGGGGGAGAGGCGCGTCAG